GTGCAAGGGAGGTCTGCAGATGGCCTGAAGATGAAGTGGGCAGAAGTTAGTAATAGGCTGGTTAGCTGTTAGTGGCCATGCGCCATAGCCATAGACAGTTAGTGAGTGTGTATGTGTGTGTGCAGTGGTTGGCGTGCATGGTATCCAGGGTGATCCGGAGTCRAGTTGCGTGTGAACTCTGAGTCGAACGTGTAAGTGTGGGCGCCCAGCGCCATAGTCAACTGAAGTAAATTTGGATTTGAGTTGAGTTGCAAGCTACCATATCTCCGAGTTTGAGTTGGGTGCACAGCGCCAGGCTATTCTCATCTGTTGCGTGCATGTTTGAGTGTGGATTTGCAAGACTGATTTCAGATCAGATCACACAAATACCATGGAAGAATTCAAATCAATCCGCCCGGTCAAAATCAGAAGCCTCCAATGGCTCATCTCATATGTAGCTCTTCCGGTTAACCAGTGGCTGCATATCAGAAGAGGTAAGAACGACCCTAACAGTTCGGATTTATGCGCAGTATGTTCAGAAAATGAACCAAGATATGCTACATTGCCTGATACGCTGTAGAGAGGCGACGGAATACTGCGCGAGAGCCTCGGATCTCTGGGACTCCCTCTTCTCGATTCCCCTCCCTGAACATCCCAGCCAACTCCTTCTATGGACTAACATCCCAGCCCAATTCCATAAGACAGAAAAAATGTGGTTTGGAATGATCAGAAAGACAACGCTGTGGTCTATCTGGAAGGAAAGATGCTGCAGAACCATTGAGGGACTCTCAACTCCAAGGGAGAAGGTATGGGCGGAGACAAGGACCCTGATTCAAGCGGAGATTCTTTGCAAGTGGCATAAGACAAGACAATCCATGCCAGACGATGAAGAGCAACAGAAAAGAATCAAGGCAAATTTCACAAAGGTGTGGCTTGCAAGGGGCAAAAAGTGGCAGAGATAATTGACTCTCGCATACGGTGGAAAAACTGGCACAACTCAGAAGCAGGGAGGAGATGGCAGAGTTCCCAGCCAGCAGAAGGACTAGTTCCATCACAGGTTACATAATGTTGGAGGCCGAATTCCGATATTGCATCATCCGTGGCTTCTTTTACCATTCTAGTTTTTTACCTTTTATCTGGCAGGTTCATGCAGTAGACCTGAGAGGAAAGGAGGAAGTAAGGCAAGCTGACAGTCAATCCTCCACGATGTTGGAGTAATCAATGCTGGTCAGGGATCCTTCGGCCGGACGGAAGGAAGCGTGGGTGGGTTTCATGATGTAATATTTTATTCTGACTTGCCGGTGGAATAGGAACAGGACTGATGCTCCCCAGAATGGAAAAAAGCACAATGCTGTCCAATTACAAAAAGAAATGAATGAACTTGAGAGGAGAGAGAGGGAAAGAAGAAGAAGAAGAAGTGAGAAAGAAGAAGAAGATGATGTACTCCAGCATAGGCCAATGACAAGGCTCTTCTTCTTCGCCAACCAATCTCCTCCTCCTTATCTCCTCCCCTCTTATTCAAACAAGAAATAACAATAATAATGTTGAATGGCTGAACCAGAATCAATGTCCGAATCCCACTTCTACTGCAGGCACAACATGAGGTCCACCATAGCCATGATCATTGGTCACCCTTCTCCTTCCTCGGCATTGCAGGCCGAGGCTATGGCGGACTACTGAGACTTCAGCCTCCTGTCCAAAGGACAACCCAAAGCAGCTATGTCGCTGCCGCTTCAAGCAACTATGCCGCTGCTCACTGAACCGCCATGCCTGACTCTACCCCGAACTTCCTTGGTGCGGCACTACCCCAACGGGGCCTTCCAGATGCAGCGCCTAACAAGGTGATGAAGATGGTGCCCACCATAGTCAGGTAGGTGCCTCGCCACTCTCCCCCTCGGTTCCCTTCTCCCTCCTCCTCCTACCAGCTGAGCTCCACCATAGCCGAGGTGGAAGCTCCTGGCTTCTTCCTCCCAGCAGCGCTGTAGCAGCCAGCGCTCTTCCAACCAGCGCTCCAACAGCGTGACGCCCAACTCGCACACTGAAGAATGAGGCCAAGCTCATCTCTCGGCCTCCTGATATAGCGGCCTACTTGCCTCCTGGGCGGTGACTTCCAGGCCGCTCGGCCTCCCAAGCAACCGGTACCTCCTCCCTTTTGGAGGGAAACATCATTGCAGACTCTGATATTGCCCGTACAGGCTCTAGACTCAGACTGGATGGACTGGTACCGGCCTAGACCTAGCCTACCGCTACTGGGCCTCTAAAAATGCCAACTTTGTCTTCTTCTGCTCGGCCTCGAGTACCCGRCACATCTACTGCTACTGGGTGCGGTACCGGCCTACCTGCTACTTGAGTGTTTTTCCGCTGCTCTAAGTGTCGCGGGCCTCTGGATCCGCCACTTGAGTGTTTTCCCCTGCTGCAACCCTCAATGCCACGGCCACAGGTAAGTACCGGCCCTACGGGCCTGCCAAACAAGCAAGTACCCTTGCGGGTCACACACACACTCATGCCGACAAGCACTCAGACAGGCACTTAAGTCAACAGGCACGCACACATACAGACTTAGAAAACACAGCAGAATGCAGGAATCTCAGCAAGCATCCATTCCATCGGCAAAACTTCAGAAATCAGCAGTGTTCTCAGTCTGTGTTATGGCGGGTCATTACAATGGTGAAAGGTAGCTCAGTTGGTTAGAGCAAAGGATTGATAATCCTTGTGTCATTGGTTCAAATCCACTTCTAAACAGGCAACATCAATCTCTTAAGAACATTTGTGAGTTGTCAGACCGTTGATACTAATCATCATGGGAGAAGAGGGAGAGTAGGATAGAAGATGTGTCAGTTGTCGGGTGGTATTGGTAAGAAAAGGAACAGTAGGTGAATCATCAATAGGTGTTGCTGTGGTGGTGCCAGATCCCTGGCGAACGCCAAAAAAGAAAAGAAAAGTTGAGTGTGACAGCCACTCTGACATGTTGGAACGTTTGTAAGTTATAGAGTCCTCTGCCATGTCATCATGGTGGGGGCAGGGGTTGAGTAGGATAGATCAGGTGTCGAGGATTGTGTAATAAACCCTGTCTGGAAGATACTCGTCAAGTGTCGAAGTACAAGATAACTCAGAGCTGAATAATGTCACCAATAATCAAGAAATGTGATCCGTGATACAATGTCTTGTAACCAGTAGACGAAGAGAGGCAAGGGAGAATAGATGATTTAGAGGGTGAAAGAGTAAGTACTAAGTATCCATCAATGACCACAAAGATAGCAGCCCCAAATTTCCCTCTTCCTCTCCAGGCTTCCCCTCGCCTCCACGTCAGCAAACAGTGTAGAACAACGAGCCTGATAGGGCCGGTTCACATCAGAGTACCACGTGGCACAGTTCTCCCGTGAAGACGTTCAGCAGCACATCGTATCGACATCAGCAACAGGTCAGTATCCTCTCTCCACAAGTGGTTATCGGGTAGCTGAAAATTCAGAAATGAAAATTCTGAAGTGAGAGTTTTGGGCAGTCTGAAAATCCTGAATGGTCCTGAAATGGTGAAAGGTCAGAAGACCCTGAAAACCACATGTTTAGGCAGGCTGCATCCTGAAGTGGTGAAGGGTGTCCTGAAGTGGTCAAGTGAGAGTTTTGGGCAGTCTGAAAATCCTGAATAGTCCTGAAGTGGTGAAAGGTCCGAAGACCATGAAAACCACCCTTTACCACTTGAGGATGCAGCCTGCCTAAACAGGTGGTTTTCAGGGTCTTCGGAGCTTTCACCACTTCAGGACCATTCAGGATTTTCAGACCTGAATGGTCCTGAAGTGGTGAAAGCTTCGAAGACCCTGAAAACCACCTGTTTAGGCAGGCTGCATCCTAAAGTGGTGAAGGGTGTCCTGAAGTGGTGATGAAAAATACGACTGTTGTTAACCTTCTCTCCCTCTCTCTCAATCAATCTACAGATCCAGATCTCCCTCCCTGTCACGTCCAACTCAACAATGAAGACAGCGTGGCAGATGCCACATCAGCAATGAAGATAGGGTGCCACATCAGCAATGTCGAAGACAGCATGCGTGCGCCACGTCAGCAAGTAGACAACTGGCGCCGAAGCAAGAAGGCGCCAGCGCGCATGCAGCAGTCTCGCGGCGTCATCCACAGTGCCAGCGTACAGCCAACATCAAGCCAGCGTCCACCCAGCGTCAAGCCAGCGTCCAGCCAACGTCAAGCCAGCGTCAAGTCAGCATAGCAAGACTGAATGCTGACCCCCTGGGAGGTTGACCTGCCTCAGGTCTCCCACCCACGGTGGCTCAGATTGACTCACAGCCGACGGCCTGGATCTCATACAATTGCAGACTTCCACTTGCTCCGAATGCTGTGTTGGTACCTGTATACAAACAAGTGTGTGTGTCTGACCAGCGGCCTGGGCTGGGTCCGTACAGACTTTGACTCATGGGCCGTTGGGCAGTTGACCGAAGTCAACTGTCGGGAGCTCACGCCCTGAAGCCTTTTTTCAGGGGGGTTGTTCCCCTTGGTCGCCGCGGTCTTAGGCCAGGGTCGCGGCCTGTGTGTGCCCCTTGGACAACAACAGGGCATATCGAACCGGTTATGGCGATTGGGTGAACAGTACCCGGAATCATGGATAGGTGTGGGTATGATGATGCGAGATCCTAGCGAAAGCTCCCCCCCCCCCCCCCCCCCCCCCCCCCCCCCCCCCCCCCCCCCCCCGCCCCTCGAAGTGCCGCTCTGACATGCTGGAAGGTTTGTCGGTTGACAGAGTCCTCTGACATGTCATCATGGTGGGGTCAGAGGTTGAGTAGGATAGATCAGGTGTCGGCGATCGGGTGTCGTTGGTGAGGAAACGAACAGGAGCTGGAATCATGGATGGGTGTTGGTGTGGTGGTGCCAGATCCTAGAAAAGGCCAAAAAAAAAGGGAAAAAAAAAGTTGCGACAGCGCCTCTGACATGTTTGCAGGTTTGTCAGTTTGTATTCGCCTTGTTCTGTTGGTAATTGACTCATTCAGAGTCATTCTTTCATTTTCTCATTCTTCCTTACGCATTCTTTCGTTTGTTTTTTGTTTATTTGTTTGTCCAGTTTACGAAGAAGGCTGTGAGGGCAAATACTTCTACGTGATCTTATGCGGGACGTTTGGAGTTCATTTGCGGCCTGTCGTGATGAGCCGCAGAAAGCAGGCTCCACATTTGGCTACCGCTGGTCGTCGCACAAGCCTTAGAGGGGAAGGAGCTACCTCTGCCCGTCGCGCAAGCCTTGGAGGCGAAGGAGTTGCAGTTGGTGTTAATGTGGGTCATGGAGGGGGAGACACTCTCTCTGGGGCTGTGGATTCATTCAGGACCCCATTCGGTGCACGGTCGGTAATCACCGGTGGTCATACTCCGGCGTTCGTCCTCGACCGTCATCAGAGCAGACTGTCCTTATCCTTTGAGGCAGCGAACGATGAGTTGAACAGCCTTGTTCTTTACTCAACAGCAGGAAACGAATCTGGATCTGCAGGGAGACCAGGTTCTAGCTCAGGTCCAATAGCTGTGAACAGCCTTGTTCCTGCAGGTAGCACATATCCCGACCAACAAGGTCCACGTCATCTGGATGGCGGTCGTGATCGGGCTCTCCCCAGTGATGGCCAAGTGGCAGACATGCAGGACACCAGACAGTCGCAATCGAGAGTTCGCCCGCGAGAGACACCCTCGGTCATCCTCACAGACCCTTCAGCCCCCATGCACCCGGAGCAGAAGCTGGACCAGGAGCAGGAGCAGCGGCAGGAGCAGTGGAAGCAGTGGCAGCTGCAGCAGCAAGAGTATAACTCTGACTCGCTAAGTCAAATCTTAACAGCTCCAGAGTCACATTTGTCAAATGCACAAAGCCGCAGAAGCTTGCAGGGACGAGCAGTGGAGACATCCAGTGATGCGTCAGCGAATTTGATGATGGTGTCAAACTTATTGCAATCCATGCAAGAGCAACAGATCCGCGAGCAGGAGCTGCAGCTTCTACCATCACTACACTCACCTTCGGCCCGGCATGCTCTGAGTAGGAGTCACAGTCGAAACCGAGCCCACTTCGGGAGCGTGCACTTGCAACAGAGGCAGCGGCAGACCAGACTCGAGACGGAGTCTCATGAGCGTGATGGTGCAGTCACTGTACAGCTGCCACATGTTGAAGGACAAGTAGATCCCCCTGGTACTGCTTCTGACCACTTGTCTACATCCTTTGCCACATCAGCAGGCGGCATGCCATTACATGCTGCAGTTGTTTCGTCTTCGTCCGCCATGGGTACTGAGGTGGACAATTCTGCGGAGAATGTGCAGCATGCCGATATTAAGGCAAAATGCCATGGGGATAATGCGGCGGCTAATGCACGGCCAATAGATGATGTTGTGGGTGAGGCAGATAGGTGTGAGGATGATGCCGTGGACAAAGTACGACGTCATCTCGATAACTCTATGGATGAGGTACAATATAATGTAGATAACATTACAGATATGACGCACCATATTGCCGATAAACTGCAGCAGCTGCAGAGGAACCTCAGTGTACACGAGAAAGATGAAGACAGCTTGGGGCCTCTTCTTTCAGAAGGTGAGCGAAATGAGGACGATGTTTTTCCACCGCGCAGCAAAAAGAGGATCGCTGCAGAGGATACTGGCGATTGGATGGAGTTCATCACAGATTTCAAGAAAATGAGAGATATTGACATCAAGTATGGATTTTGTGTACGCAATCTTTATTCGGGTGACACATTTGGCGCACGAGAGCTCCTTAGTGGAGCAAGGAGGTGGGCTCCTCCTCCCCTTCTTCTTTTTCTTCTTCTTCTTCTTCTTCTTCTTCTTCTTCTTCTTCTTCTTCTTCTTCTTCTTCTGCTGCTGCTGCTGCTGCTGCTGCTGCTGCTGCTGCTGCTTCTTCTTCTTCTTCTTCTCCTTCTTCTCCTTCTTCTCCTTCTTCTTCTTCTTCTCTTCTGCTGCTGCTGCTGCTTCTGCTGCTTCTGCTTCTTCTTATCCTTCTTCTGCTGCTGATACTGCTGCTGCTGCTGCTTATTCTTGCACAAAAGCTCCTTAGTGGAGCAAGGAGGTGGACTTGTTTCTTCTTCTTCTTCTTCTTCTTCTTCTTCTTCTTCTTCTTCTTCTTTTCTCCTTCTTTTCTTCTTCTTCTTCTTCTTCTTCTTCTTCTTCTTCTTCTTCTTCTTCTTCTTCCCTCTCCTCGTCGTCGTCTTCTTCTTTCTTCTTCTTCTTCCTTCTCCTCCTCGTCTTCTTCTTCTTCTTCTTCTTCTTCTTCTTCTTCTTCTTCTTCTTCTTCTTCTTCTTCGTCTTCTTCTTCTTTCTTCTTCTTCTTCTTCTTCTTCTTCCTCTTCGTCTTCTTCTTCTTTCTTCTTCTTCTTCTTCTTCTTCTTCTTCTTCTTCT